TGAGAATCAAACTTCTTTAAGTAGGTTATCTAACACTTGCCCATTTCTATCCAACTCCTGGGTGGACTAAGCATTGCGCAGTTTTCCGGATCCATAGCAGTGCTCCACCTCAGAGTGCTGAGTTGGCTGGAGAGGAAAACTGTAAGATGATAAGAGTACGATTCTTAAAAGCCTTGTCCTGTACTCGCAGCTTGTCCAGCGATGCCTTCAGTGTTGTCTGCCTGATGCTGTTGCTGTTCTGACTTCCATTCTGATTGGTCCCGGAGCTGGTGATGTTGCCCAATGGCGAGGCGGCGGCAGGAGTATATTGGGTGTCACAAGCTTGCCATGGAAGGCAATAACCCGCTGCATCATGCCCTTGCTAGAGGCACCACCTAAGGCAAACTAACGCTTCTGGGGCAGGCCACCGAAATGGTCCTGGTAACTAAGCTACTGCTGCGGTGGCTCCGGTGTCATGTTGTAGCAGTTGTGTTGCTCTGCGATAAGGCCGAGATGCCAGAGTCATCCGAATGCTGGCCATCGAGGCTCTCCTCCTTGGCGCTGTTCACGCTAGAGGCCAGCGAGGGTGTATTGGAGAGCTCATCAATGGGCAGCAGGAGAGTAGTGGTCTGCACTGCCGCCGGCCGGGCTGTGACTAGCACGCCCTGGACATGATCCAGCTTATCCCGATCCTGTAGCTGCTTTTGAGTGCATTCACCATAGCCCAAAACAAAGCAGTGCTCCACCTCAGAGTCCTCATCGTCATCGTCGTCCGCATCGGCCTCGTCGTCTGTGCTGAGCTGGCTGGAAACGAAAAAGCGTAATATTATAAGAGGATTCTTGAAAGCTTTGACGTGTACTCACAGCTTGTCCAGCGAAGCCTTCAGTGTGTTCTGCCTGTTAATCTTGCGCAGCAGCTTCAGCTCCTTCTCCCGCGACTTGGTGTCCTGCAGCTCCTGCTGGATCTTCTGCTCGACGGCCACATAGCCTCGTCGCAACCGCCTGCCCTCCGAGTCTCGCCCTTTGGCGAGTTGCCGTTCTCCAGGAATACAAACGCCGTGCGTGTGTTCAGCTTGAGGGTGTTGCTGTTGCTGCTGACTTCCATTCTGATGGCTCCCTGAGCTGCTGATCTTGCCCAATGGCGTGACGGGCGGCAGGGGACTATTGGGGGTCACCAGCTTGCCATGGAAGACCACAACCCGCTGCATCGCACCCTTGGTAGGGCAGACTGCTCAGCTGCGGTATGGAAATGGTCCTGGTGATGAGCTTCTGCTGCGGCGGCTCCGGTGTCATGTTGTAGAAGCTGGGTCCAATGTAACGCTGCTCCTGACGTGTGCCCACGGTCGGCTTGAGCGGCTGCTGCTACTTCTTGGCCTGGAGGTTGTTGTTGCTCTGCGAAGAGACCGAGATGCCCGAGTCATCTGAATGCTGGCCATCGAGGCTCTCCTCCTGGACGCTGTATAGGCCAGCGAGGGGGTGTTGGATAGCTCATCAATGGGCAGCAGGAGCGAAGTGGTCTGCATTGCCGCCGGCCGGGCTGTGACGAGCTCGCCCTGGTCTTGATCCAGCTCATCCTGATCCTGTGGCTGCTCCTGAGTGCATTTACCATAACCTAAAACGTATGATGTCAAAGCTGCCAGCAATCGATATTCAAAGCTGCGTATGGCGGCATGCCAGCAATCGATAGTCAATGCTGCAATGCCGTACATCGTCACTGATCGTCGCTGTTGCACATGGCTGCAGGCAACCAGCGGAAAGTCAAGGCGGTCAGACTTCGACATAAGAGTAGTGAAAATGAACTGGGCACACTGCAAAACGGTTCTTGATCAGGCTTTCCCACTGGGCAATGAGGCCTCTCGATGAGGGCGCCTCTTGAGCGTCAGATCACAGAGCTGGACCAGCGACATGGCCGGACGCATCCCATTAATGCTGCCATTGGTCCATAGCAGTGCTCCACCTCAGAGTCCTTCAAGAGAGGATTCTGGAAAGCCCGGACGTGTACTCACAGCTGGTCCAGTGAAGCCTTCAGTGTGTTCTGTCTTTTAATCTTGCACAGGCGCTTCAGCTCCTACTCCCGCGACTTGGTGTCCTGCAGCTCCCGCTGGATCTTCTGCTCGAAGGGCACACAGCCTCGACGCAACGGCCTGCCCTCGAAGTCCCGCTTGATGGCCGCCGGTAATGGGGTGACCGTGGTGATGCCCTTTGGCGAGTTGCCGTTATCCAAGTAGGCCAACGTCGTGCGCGTGTTCAGCTTGAGAGTGTTGCTGTTGCTGCTGACTTCCATTCTGATTGCTCCCTGATCTGCTGATGATGCCCAATGTGGGTGGCACCAGCTTGCCATGGGAGGCCATAAACCGCTGCATCACGCCCTTGGTAGGGCAGGCCGCTCAGCTGCGGCATGGAAATGATCCTGGTGATGAGCTTCTGCTGCGGCGGCTCCGGTGTCGGTGTAGCAGCTGGGTCCAATGTAACGCTGCTCCTGACAGGTGACCACGGTCAGCTTGAGTGGCTGCTGGTGCTGCTTGGCCTGGAGGTTGTTGTTGCCCTGCGAAAAGACCGAGATGCCCAAATCATCCGAATGCTGGCCATCGAGGCTCTCCTCCTGGACACTGTTCACGCTATAGGCCAGCGAGGGGGTGTTGGACAGCTCATAAATGAGCAGCAGGAGGAAAGTGGTCTGCACTGCCGCCGGCCGGGCTGTGACGAGCTCGCCCTGGTCTTGATCCAGCTCATCCTGATCCTGTGGCTTGCCCAATGGCGTGACGGGCGGCAGGGGAGTATTGGCCCTTGGTAGGGCAGGCCGCTCAGCTGCGGCATGAAATGATCCTGGTGATGAGCTTCTGCTGCGGCGGCTTCGGTGTCATGTATGTCATGTCATGTCACCGTCAGCTTGAGTGGCTGCTTCTGCTGCTGCTTGCCCTGGAGGTTGTTGCTCTGCGAGGAGGAAGATAATGTGGATCATCGAGGAACTGCACCTTGGCGCTGTTCACGCTAGAGGCCATCGAGGGTGTATTGGAGAGCTCATCAATGGGCAGCAGGAGAGTAGTGGTCTGCACTGCCGCTGGCCGGGCTGTGACCAGCACGACCTGGAAATGATCCAGCTTATCCTAAACCTGTGTCTGCTCCTGAGTGCATTCACCATAACCTAAAACGTTAGATGTCAAAGCTGCACATGGTTCCATGCCAGCAATCGATAGTCAAAGCTGCGTATGGTTATCCAGCAATCGATAGTTAATGCTGCCATGCTTCACATCTTTACTGATCGTCGCTGTTGCAAATGGCTGCAGGCAACCAGCGGAAAGTCAAAGCGGTCACATTTCGATGTATAAGTAGCGAAACATGAGTTGGTCACACTGCATAAAAGCTTGTGATAATGGATATGGTCTCACCTTTGTACCGTCCTGGCTTGGCATTTTTTTTTATCGGGGTTTCCCACTGGGCAATAAGGTCTCGCGATGAGGGCGCCTCCTCAGGCGTCAGATCACAGAGCTGGGCCAGCGACATGGCCGGACGCATCCCATTAATGCTGCCATTGCTAACTCCATTGGCTATGTAGGCGGCTGCATTCAGGCTGCGATTGCCAGCGGGCTTGTGTACTCTAGGGACTCTAAGGTGGAGCACTGCTATGGACCCGGAAAACTGCGCAATGCCCAGTCCACCTAGGAGTTGGATAGAAATTTTATTGTATGCGCATTTTACATGCTGCGGGCGACCGCTAGCGGGTTTTTTTTGAAACTGCGATTTTATATTTTACTTTTAGATTTGAAAATGTATAAAACCACTCATAGGTGACGCCAGACAGTCTGCTTAAAGAAATAGTTTTCCATTAAAATTCTCAAAAATACAGAGCGAATTATAAAATATATGAATATTTTATTTTATTATTAATCTGCAATATTGTAGAAAAATTAAATCTTTACGAAATCATAAATCTTTGTTTCAATAAGGTAATTTTTAGATTTGATAACTGAACTTTAAAAGGCACAAAAATATATTATGTATATTTTTAAACCTATGGGAGAGGAAAATGTTTCTAAAAAATATTAAGACATTTTTGTTATTTGCATTCCCTTACAGGGTATTATAATTTCAGTCACAAGCTTGAAACACAGTGAAGGAGGTATTTCCGACCCTATAAACCATATATATTCTTGATCAGCATCAATTACCGGATGTTGGCCAGAAAAAAATTTTTGAACCAATTTTGGAAAATTTTATAAGGGGTTACATCATTAAAATTTTCAAATTTTCACGAATTACAAGAATTTTTAACATATTTAATTTAATATGCAGTTTTGTTAGTCCAATAAAAACTAGCTTAAAGCATCTTCCCGATTGGAAATTGATGCATTTTTGGCTAAGTTATGATCAATTCTCACTGCATGGGTATAGAAATTTCGAGTTCCTTTCCTGTCTATACACAATTTAACCAATTTTTATAATGTTTCATATCTTTTATATTTTAGTTTTCCATAAACTAAAAGGAATATATTTAAGTAAACTAAAAACTGACAGCAAATACTGCCCTGCGTATCCTGCCGTTTATCAATAGGACTCTCTTAAGTGCGGTTTTACCTATGATTTTCCCAATTAACCTGTGTTTGTCCACTCTCGCTTCGTCGAGCCCGGGTCTGGGCTGGCTTTACCCTAAGCCCAAGTCCCTGGATCGCCTGAGGGTATTACGCAATAATAAAAACTGTCACCGGAGCGAAGAAGCTGGCGCCAGAGCCAGGATGCTGATGCTTACCTTAACCCTTGAGCGCAGGTAAAAATCCAAAAGGAAGGGGAAACTGTGACCTAAAGCCGGGCATCAATGGCGGGAAATTCCAGGGGCTTTCCACCCAAACTGGTCATTCATGAAAATCAGCCTCGAAGGTTGCGTTGCGCACACGTGTTGTCAATTACCTGATGGTGATCCCAAAGGATCGCTCCAGGTAGTGAGTCCCTGCCTGGGTTTTCCCGCTGTTTTCTCTCTTTTCCTGGTTTTGTGAATGAAAAGGATCCGGGGATATATAAAGGACATGTCGCTGCACCAGAGACAATCAGAAGCCAAGGAAACGCGAAGCGAGCGACACATCGAGTTCTGTAGAAGAAACTATACACAATTATTTGAATCCCTTCTATCAAATACGAGTGGCAACATCATGGCAGCAGCATCACTAGCATCAGTACTCAGGATCATCATTGTGGCCACTCTGGCTGGCAGTGCGCTGGGCGCATCTCTTCCTTCTTTGGAAAAATCGGAGCCAGGACTTGGACGTGCCCAGAGGATTGCCCAGTGCCGGGAGCTGTGCTATCGCCAGTCGCAGCCGGTGATCACGCCCCCGTTCCTCTGCCGCTCTCGGCCAGAGTGTTACATGTGCCACGACTACTGCCGTGTCCTGGTCGTGGTCCAGCAGAGTTTGGCCACATCGATGTGTGCGGATCGAGAGTTTTGCACTCGCGGTTGCCGGGTGGCCTGCTCCTATCATCGCCTCAGGATATTCCAAAAGGAAGCAACGGGAGCAGCAGAGCCAGACAGCGGAAATGCGGTGGTCAAGAAGTGAGAAAAGACTTCTCTTGGGAGAAATTCCTTGGAGTAACAGTGGGAAAATTGAGAGGAAAACTCTTTGGACACTTTCCGAAATACTTGTACATAGTCTAGCTTAAGTGTACAGATTGAAATATGTTTAATTTTAGTAATAATAAAGAAAAATATTTACAAAAGCATAACTAATTGGTTTTAAATGATTATTTCTTTAATCTTTGGCAATTGCTCATGCACCTAGGCTATGTCTATTTAAAAGCCTTTCTTTGGCTTTACTATTTCAATATTTTCAGCTAACGAGGGACTTTACAGATTCTTCGTTTTGTAAAGTTCCAAATATTCTTCTTTGTTTTTAAAATGAAATACAAAAGGAGATCCTTTGTTTTAGATAAAACAAGGTGTTACTTTCTTCCTTCTATCTTTATTATTTTCTAGTCAAAAATGAACTTGTTATTCCCTTAATTTTCCCTTTAAAATCCTTTAAAAAACCATATCAATTGGAACATATAAACAAATCCAACACAACTTCAAGCTGAAGCAAGCCAAGATGATGGCTCCAAATTGCCCCGGAAAACATGGAAAACGTGTAAACACTTGCCAATTAGTTGTTGCTAACCAAAAATGATTATTAGTTAATAACGAAGAGAAAAAAAAGAAAGTCAAGGCAAGTTTGATGTCGGAGGAGGAGGAGGAGGAGGAGGAGGAGGACTGGAGGCAGGAGGAGACCCAACTCTTCTCACGAATGGCAACGGGAACGGGCAGGAGAACTGGTAAGCAAGTAACTGGCAAACTTGGACTGAAAACTGGGAATTGGCCAGGCTGTTGCCGCCAGCTGTTGTGTGTTGTGTTGTGTTGTGTGTTGGCTTTATTAATCACCGGCAAGCGGGAGGATGAACATGAGCAGGAGCAGGAGCAGGAGCAGGGACCAGGAGTTGGCCCAAAGTCCGCACGAAATAATTTAAGCTTGCATATTGAAGGAGAGGAAAAAATTAAATTAAAAATGCGGCACATAGAAAAAGGAGCACAACAGGTGGCCAAGTTGGCCGGATATTGAATGCTTCTTCCTTCGGCTGCGACTGCGACTGCGACTGCGACTGTTGCCTCGATGGCATATGGCATATGGCATCGATCGATCGATCGACCCAATATCGATCCCATAGCCTCGATAAGAACAGACGCACCTAACGGTCAGCGGAAACAGAAACAGCAGCGGCAGCATCAATATTTTTGTGACCGACACCTAATTACATAATTACATAAAAGCAGGCACCAATGGGTTAACTTTAACACCCTTTAACCCCCTCTCTGTTGGGGCCTGTCACATAAAACCGCTGCGAGCGCATAAAAAGCACCAACGATGATCATAAAAAAATCGATTTGAAGTCCATAAAAATCATATCATACAAATTTTTATATGCCAAAGCGAGCTTTAAAATGTCACGTTCAGTATATATGGAGGAAGGGGGGAAATGAGGGGGATATTCGGGGGCATTAACGAATGAAAAGTGGAAAGAAAACAATATTAACAAAAGAGCAGGTATATTGACTTTTGTGGGGGATATCAATACTATTTCTAGGCGAAAAAGGTTATACACTCACCACAAGAAGCGGGTTTATTTAAAGTTAAGATAACATATCTAAAGAATAGAATAAATAAAAAAGAATATTTGTAATCAGAATAGTGAAAATGAAGGCCTATCTATAAAAATTGATAAATAAAAATATAGATAATATAGGCTTAAAGAATAGTATTAAAATTTCATTCAGAAGCTTAAAACTAAGTGAAGGAAGCATTTCCGACCCTATAAATCATATATTATCTTGATCAGCATTAAAAACTGAATCGATCTAGACATGTCCGCAAAAAATAAAATTTTTAACAATTTTTTCGAAATTTTATCATCATTAAAATTGTCAAAAATTGGAATTTTTTTACATTACAAACTGAGTATGCAGATTTATTAACCTTATAAAAACTAGCAAAGGACAGTTTTCGGAATTAAAATTAAACCATTTTTGACTTAGTTATGAGAATTTTAAAATTTGATATTTCGGAAAAATTGTCACATAAAAATATCGATAAATACTAACACATTTCATAAAAATTCAAAGATATTTGTAATATTCAAATAAATAACTAAGTGATAAATACACTTCCCCCCTTAACTCTCTCCCCAAACTGAACCCAAACCCTTTGGAAAAGTGCATCTACCTCGACCATAAAGTAAGAGAAACCAAAAGCGATTTCCAAATGGAAAATCTAAGCTGCGTTTTTTCTTCTCTTCTCGTTTTTTGAAAGCAAATTAAAAGCCACGACAAATGGCGCAAGAGAAATGACAGATAAATTTCCCATTGAGCAACAGGTGGATGGGCATTGGGGGATTCCTAGCTCATCCAGCTCCAGCTCCTCCTCTGACCAAGCTCCCTTCCCTTCTGCATCCACTCCAAGTGAATTGAAAACTTTTCTCGATGATGCAATAAATTCACAGATAAATGTTAATTTACGAGGGAAGGAGGGCGCAAGGAGGTGTCCCAAGGAGGAGTCCAAGTGCGACAGACTGTCTGCCATGGCCAAGGAAGAGCAGGAGCAGGAGCAGGAGTGGGAGAAACAAAACCCTTTTGCGATTATGATTATTGAAATGTTTTTCGAGGCAGCAGCCGCCTCTCTCGTCTCGGCGGGCGTGCAAATCACGAATTGCTATATCCAAATCCGGATATTTATACATGTACGGCTTCAACTCCAACTCCAACTCCAACTCCGTCTCTGGCTACGTATTAATTAATTATAAAGCAGAGGCTGCCGGACAGACGCCGGACACCTCACCTTCCATAACGTGCACGAAGGTGAGAAATCAATTTTCAGTATCTCGCTTTGTGTTTAATATTTTTCCAGTGAAATGCGCCGCCGACCGAGGACCATGATGAGCCTCACTTTTGGCTGAGTTTTTCAGCTTCACCTTCAGTTTTTTCAGTTTTTATTCTTATTTTTTTAGCCCCGGGGCAGCGTTTGTGACTGGAGGAGGTTCGGGTTTAGGTGAAGCTTCAGGTTCGGGTTCAGGTTCAGTTGAGGTTCCAGGCACTTGCAAAAAACGTGTGCCAAAAAATTAATATAAAATAAAGAACACATAGATAAAACTCATTGTTATAGAAATTTTCAAATCATTTTTATGATTATCTAAACCATAACCCCTATAAAAGTAAACAAATACCGATAAATATCCTTATAAAGTCCTTGAATGCCTATTTTGAAGATCTTTTTGAGAGCATATAAAGAAAATATTAGCCAACAAAGCTAACATTGTCCCAATTTACATATAAATCTTAATTGATTCCTAATAAACTATTAAGAAATTGTTAAAAAGGTAAAAAATATAACACTTTTAAACTAAAAGTTTGTATTACTTGTATGAAAACAAATATAATAATACAACTTCAAGTGCTAAAACGTATTCCTCTTCAACCTAGTTATATTATTTTAGTTAGTTATATTATTATTTACATTATTTAGCAAGTAACCAAATTTTCTTCAAGTGATTCTGTTGTGTAGCCTGTGGATTTCTGTTTAGAGGTCTCTGTTCTGGGGCACGTAAATTAGGATAACAACGTGAAACATAATTATTACTTTGGACAGATATGGCAGAGTCTTTCGGTGGGATGAGTCCCGGGATTCCGGCCTGCTCCTGCTCCTGCTCCTGCTGCTGCCGATCCTGGACAGGCCGCTGCCTTTTGTGGCCCAAATAAATGTATTAAAGTTGGTTAACGCCTTCATTTCCGTACCGATCGTTTCAACTTTGCTTGTTGTCTTTCTTTCTGTCTTTCTTTTTTCTTTTTTCTGTTTTTGTGTTAAGTTCTCTTCTTGTGGCCCCAAAGTAGGTGCAATAAAAAATATGAATTGTTGTTGTATTAAGATCCGGCCCAAAGCAGCAGGCAAAGATCATTCAACGCTTTTTACGACCCGCAACGAACTTCAAACTCTTCAAGTATGTATTTTTTTGCGGAATTCGTGTGAACTTCTTGGCCTCAGCATATAGTTTTGTGTGAATTAACCATCGTAGGTCAGGGCTAATTTAAGGGGAAATTGGTAAGAAGAATATGGTAGCTATAGCCCAGTAATAGAGTTAATTGTTAAGGCTTAAAAAGGGGGAAGTTAGGGAGTAAGTTTGGAATAATTTCTAAAGATAATTTGGTATTTAAAGTACCTTCTATTACCTATCTTTTATTTATAAAAAATATTCGAATATTTAAAAGCATTTCAGGTTATAAAATAAGCTTTTTTCTTGTTGCTTTTATACAAATAAATCACTATAAATTCCCATTTAAAGCTAATTCAATTAGTTCACCTTTTGCGCCCTTCGATTGCTTAATTGGCATTTGATCTCTGGACTCATCAGCTAATTAATGCCCGACGATCCGCTGGACAATCCCCACCAGCTGCGATCTCCGACCACCCGCTGGATTCACAAATCCCCAAGAGAATCCCCAAGAGAATCCCCAGCAGATTCCCCAAAGAGACTCAAAGTTTCACAGATTTCAAGAGGAAATGCCACGAAATTGAAAATGCAAAACGAAATTGGCAAACGCAGTTTCGGTATTCCTTTTTTTTTTGTTTTGTTTTTTGTTTTATTGCTGTTTTTAATTTTATATATATTTGCTGTTTCTGGTTTTCTCGAGGAGACCGTGGCCATGCGTAATGAAGACGTTAAGCTTGGAGCCGGGCTCAGAAGGAGCTGGAGTTGGAGTTGGAGCTGGACAAGGAGCAGGAGCAGGAGGCGGCGGTGGAGCCTCACGAGAGCTGCCAGGCATACGTCGCCTTGCCGTTAAATTCCGAGTCCCGAGTCCGAGGAGTCCCAGCTCCAACGCCACGGGCACAAGGCCCAAGCAAAGCCACATCCCAGCTTCTACTCCCTACTTCTGACCCTCTTTACTGATTCCACATGCACTGGGAAAATTTATGCTTAAACTCTTTTAAAATAAATTCAGAAATAAGGGGAAAACTACAAATTATTTGGGGAATTTTTTAATAAAAAAGATATGATATAGGGGTACCTTCAGGGCATTTAATTATATAAAGAATGAAGGTTTTAAAGGTTTCTATTTAACTTTAAGCATTTTAAAATATTACTTCAATATATGTACATGTATTTTAAGTGAGAAAATCAGCCATAAATTTAAGTATTTAAGGCCACTAAATAAATATGATTATTTTTGCAACAAACGAAATTTTAAAAATCTCATAACTCAGCCAAAAAAGCATTAATTTTAATTCGGAAAGCGGCCCTATGCTAGTTTTTATAAGGTTAATAAAACTGCGTACTAAATTTAAAATGTATTAAAATTTGAAAATTTATCAGTTTTTGAAAATTTTAATGATGTAACCCCTTATAAAATTGTGAAAAAAATTAATCAAAATTTTGATTCTCTCTTTTATGCCTAGAAAGATTCCCCTATTGATCCTGATCAAGAATATATATGATTTATAGGGTCGGAAATGATTCCTTCACTTTCTTTTAAGCTTCTGATTAAAACTATATTACCATTTTTTAATGGATATTAACTATATATTTATGTGATAATTTTATCGAAAAATCAAAGATAAAAACTAATAACTAGACCAGAAATGCATTAATTTTAAATCGGAAAGCGTTAGTATGCTCAATTTTAGCAGGTTAATAAAACTGCATACTCCATTTAAAATTAAATTTTTTACCAATTTGTGACAATTTTAATGATGTAACCCCTTTTCTTTTTTTCAAAAAATGGGAAATTTTTGAAAAAAAATGTTTCCTGCAGGAGATAGCTAAAAAGATTCCCCTGTTGATGCTGATCAAGAATATATATGAGTTATAGGGTCAAAAATAATTCCTTCACATTGTTACACACTTCTGACTGAATTATTAATACCCTACAAAAACATACTTATTCGTTGACTTACAAGTAAGTATCTAAAACAAAGAGCTTTCTATATTTAAAATATCTAAAGAATATATAGCTCATCAATACAGTAATAATAATAAATATACTTATTCATTAATTTACAAGTATCTCTATAAATATCTATAAGAATGATATCCCACTTGAATCACTTTATCATACCTAAAATCTATATAAAATATTCTCTAAAATATAAAAACCCAAAATGCATTAAGTCCCCATTGATTTCTCTCTGTGTGCGTAACTCTTTGAGGCTCGTTTCGGTTCCGCTTGCATGTTAACTGAAATGAAAATTCGTATGAAGGCGAGAAATTAATGAATCATTCACACCTGCATGACGGATTGTCTGCATTACTCGCCACTCTCACCTGGGCCAACTGTCTCTCTCTCTCTATCTCTGTATCTCTATCTCTCTTTGTGGCGGCACCATTTTGTAGGTAGATCCCAAAGATCCCTTTTCCGAGGGCACCTTGAACCTGTGCCGTGGTCCGAGTCCAACTCCAAGTCCAAATCCAACTCCAAGTGCGAAAGGGGGGCGCGGCCTGGCTGACGCTTCTGCCGAAGGAGTTGCCTTCTAATTTATTTGCCTGATGTGTGTATTACATTTACCGTCTGCCTGCCGTCCTTGTCGCTGTCTCTGTCTCTGTCTCTATCTGTGTCTCTGTCTTTGTCTTCCCCCGTGTCCCTCTGTTCCTGCTGCAATGGTCTTCAAATTGCCTCTTGGCCATCCGGAGATGGCTCTTTGGGAGATTCCAAGCACTTGGCACGATCTGCCAGGCTTAATATTTCCAGCAACGATAATTATCGGTATTATGTTGCATCGATAAAAATCGAGAATCATAAACCTATCGCATTTTAAGCCTTACTACAGCCAAACTTAAACTTAACTAGTATATTCCAGTGATTATATCTAAATATATTTACCCAAAAAATAGATCTAAGCGAAAATACATAAATAATTAAAGTACTAGAGATGTAAAACTGTAATAATATTAATCAAAATTAATTCTAAACTATCTTTCTGCTTATTATTTTTACTCGCTAACCAACTGACCACACTCCACGGTGCGTGTGCTGCGTGTGAACTTGATGGATGCACTGCCTCCGCCTCCTGGAGCAGCTCTTCCTTATGCATTTCTTGCATTTTACTCCTTAACCTGATCCTCCTCTTACTTCTTACTATTTTGTGGGTCTCAAGCCCACGGGCAGTTTTGTTGGTTGGAAATTAAAATGCATTTGCAAGTATTTTTTTGGGGGGCTTTCCTGTAACCGTACTCAAAATCGCATTCCCCAGAAAAATAAAGACAGGGGAGGTCAAAGTTTAAAGGGGTACAGTTAATATATATATATTCGCACTTAGTCTAAGGTTGTTTTCTTTTAGCTAGCCACCATATTTTTAGCCTAATTTTATACACACACAAATTGGGATTGTCCTTAGATATTGCAATCTTGAACAATTGCTTAGATCAAGCAGAGACAGTCTCTAAAAAAAATAAGGAAATAAATTAATTAAGAACCCAGCAAGGACTCAATGCTAAAGGGTGAGTTGTAGAGGTTCTTCTTCTGGGTGGCAGTGACCTCAGAGACTTGATTCTCCAGCTTAATGGGCACATCCAGGTCATCTCTAGGCTCCAATTTCAGTTCCAGTTCCGGCTCAGCCTCGCTGCTGCTGCTCTTGGCGTAGGTTCGAGAGGAGGAGCAAAAGGAATGATCCTGGCTATCACCAGTCACATCCTGAGGATGATGATGATGATGATGGTGGTGGTTGAGATCCTCGCCCACCACATCAATGGGCAGATCCTCATCTTCATAGCTCTCTAGTTCCTCCTCCAGCTCCAGCTGCAGCTCCTTATCTTCCGCCAACCAGTTATCCTTGTGGGCTGCCATATAATCCGCCTTTAGACGCTCCACATCCACCTCGATGCCCTTGAGCCGGAGCTTCCTAACCTGCCGCTCAATGGCCTTTCTCATTCGTTTGCTCCTCTGGGCTCTGTTTATGGGACGGAGGCAGATATATTAGGGAGATCCTTTCCCGTATCTAGACTCACCTTTCCCGTGCCCTTAGCTCGGAGGGAGGAATGGGTGCTCCACTGCAGCTCTGGGGCTGGGCATTATGCGCCGGTCGGCCAGGACCCTTTTTGGTGTGCTCCTTTTTACGCCACTTGGCGCGACGATTCTGGAACCAAACCTTTACAGGAGGAATTAGATATTTTTGGGGGGTCAGGGAGGAGGAATCTCCTACATATAATAATATCCATTAACCAGAAATCACGACCATTTCATTTCAATAAAGTCACCGATTCCGTTGCGGACGATTAACCCCCACCAAGGGCAATGTGTCACGCGTGTTGGGAGTGGGATGATCATCCAAATGGGGCAAGCTGATCACTGATCGTGGACTATGGAATCCAGGTGCTCCGGAGAGCAGAGACTAGGGAGCTTGGAGCTCGGGGAGATGGGGTTGACTGCCTTGGTTAGTTGGAGTCATAAGCAAGATGGCGTCGCTAATTGACCTGCAGTTTGCCGGAGCAACTCGACCGTATCGATGGCGGTACCTGGAGCTCGGAGCAGGGAGCAGGGAGCAGGGAGCTCTGAGAAGGGAACTGGGAGCTGGGAGCTCAGAGCTCGGAACTCGGAACTCGAAGCTCAAAAGCTAGCCTGGTCTCTGATGGGCGGCGACACATGTGTGTGCGACAATTTGAAGTCATTTGCATGCATTGTGCATTTTATTTTTAATGTGCAACAAATTGTTTTCGAACCAAGCGACATGCAATGCCTTGTTCCCGGCCTTAACAAGAGCTCTATTGGTACACGGAACCAAATTGACTTATATAAGTCAAGTTCTATTAAGAACTAATAATATATTACATATTATTTAATATCAATTTGATATTTTAATACAAGTTTAGGGGATTTTGAAAGTAATTTTCAAAGTCAAAGGTCAGTTGTTCAATATTTGGTTAATAATTTCGGGCAGAAAAACTGCCAGTTAACGAAAAGGTGTTAGTTAACTGTTAATCAGAACTAACATTCCACTGATTTAATCAAATCAACCGGGTTTCTCATATATTGTCAACAAAATAAACTTAAAATTAAACTAAATGTATAAGTTAAACAATAACTAGAAGTTATAAGTTAATTAAACACAACTTATTTCATTTAATTAATGTCAATTTGCATTTCACATCTAGTTAATCTTTAAGGGACACTGAGGAAATCTAACTGGTTAATCAGAGAATTACTTTAACTGGTACCTTAACTGGACATTTGGAAATGAGCACTAGAAAGCCTTCTCTATACTCTATCCAATTATTTGGCATAGAAAAACTGCGAGTTTTTCTATAACTTTTTCCCCTGTGCACCTGTATATGTATTATTATACCTGTTTTTCCCCTCCGATTTACTCACACCCCGCCTTTTGCCGAATCGAGCGACTGATTGTGAGTGAGGGAATGACAAACGGACACACTGACGGACAGACGGACAGACGGACAGACGGACAGACGGACAGACTGTCGCTGTCTTGTCGTTCGCATTGACAAATTGATATGTCATGTCAAGAAACAATTTCAGACAAAGCGTAGCCAAATGTCCCTCCTCAGTACCTCGAATAGAGAGCGAGAGAGAGAGGGATACTAGTAGAAAAGAGATAGAGGGAGACAGATAGAAAGAGAGAGGCATAGTTAGATAGACAAAGAGCCAACGATAATCACACGACTGACATGCAAAGTCAGCCATCGCAAATGGTAAAGGGTTAAAGGCGTGTGGAGCCCGAAGGGGGAGCAAGGGGTTAAGCTCGCTCTGGGAATGCAATTGAAATCATTACAACAACAAGCGACACGAAACGCAATTGCAAATGAAATAAAATGAATTATAATGGATAAAAATAGTCAGGTAATTGGTTTTATTGAGTAATTGAGTTCCAGTTGCCACCAAATTGTTTTACAATGCTCACGCAAAGGGGAATCGTATACGAGATAGGGAGTCGCAAGTCCTTGGGAATCGGTATCAAATTGTGGGCAAAATTCTAGGAGATATACCCTTCCAATTGAATACTATTTGAATTCAAACTCACCGCAATGCGTCCTTCTTTGAGATCCAGTCTCATGGCCAGCGCCTCTCGCATAAATATATCCGGATAATGGCTACCCAGGAAGGCTCTCTCCAGCTCCTCCAGTTGCCAGGAGTTGAAATTGGTCCGGCAGCGTCTTCGCTTCGAGGCCTCCTCCTGCGTTTCCACATCCTCATCGGGATAGGTATCGAGTTGGGGATCGGTTTCGATATGATTGGGAGCCTCCTCACTATTGGTTTCCTCTTCGGGATTCCAGTCTGGAACAAGTAATATAATAAATATAATATCTAGATTATAAAGATCTTTAAAATTCTATAAATAATATATTTACAGATCGAAGTTAAAACAGAAATTGTATAATCCTTTTGTAAGAGAGATTTAGGCTTCTTTCGGGCATCCTAGCCCCCTTAAGTAGGCAATACTTTTTAGACAATGAGAGTGCAGTATTTAATAGTCACTTAAACTAACTCATTTTCATTGATTTCATCAATTTATTTCTAATTTTTTAATAAAAACCCCTTAGAAACTCCAACTTACAACATTTCCCTTCGAAATCATCAAGTTAAACCTTTAAATTTCGGTTCTTTATAGAAGAAAAACTCGATTAGATCGACGATTTACCTCGATGGCGGTGTACAATTAACTCGGAATAGTGCCTGGGTCCTGGATACGGAGCAAAATCGGTCTGAGGGTGTGGGTTTTTTGAAGTCCTAGGCTCTGAGGGCGATACCATGTTCCATGGGGGAACTTGGCTTGGCTCGTTTCGGTCTCGTTTTATAATTGCAAACAATTAAAGTCTATTTATGCAAATTTCCAAGATATGCACAGAACGGAGACCGCAGCCGAAACAGGAACCGGAACTGCTGGAACTGGCGATGTGCCACGCCCATTCTAGGCAGGAGGAGGAGCCAGAGGACCGAGAACGTCGTTTGTCTTTCTAATTTATAGCGGCGCAAATTGGTTTCCACAATTAGGAAGTGGTGGGTGTTTTGCTCGGATATGTTTAAAGCTCCAAATGGCGGAAGTAAATTACCCGTATATATACGTATATATATATATATATATACTCCTACCAACCTATACGGAGCAAAAGTTCCACCTCCTGGCAATCTAACATGGTCGAAACCAGCCATGTCTTGCCCATCGTTTAGTTGCAGTTTTAAGTGAAATTTAATTGCAAAAATTTAGTCAGTACACATAGAGAAAGAAAGGGTGACTGCATTTTGTATTAAAATAAAATATGACCCTCTTTGAAGTCTCTACTTATCGAAAACATATGAAATAGTAAATGTTTTAAGCAAATTTAACCGAAATCTGGCATATATTCTCCTTTTATAAAGTCTTTTCCCTTCTTAAATGATTATTAAACCCTTTTACCATTATTATATATACTTCATCATGCATAATACTGACTTAAAACAAGACCTTAGTACGCTTCTAAGTGTAACCAATTACAAGGAGTGATTTCTTGGTAGAAAAACAGAGGGAGACTCTGAGGTGGAGCCACTGGCCAGTGGTTAACCACTAAGTGAACCGCAGGAAAATCATCACCAGACAGAGTAGCAGTAGCAGTAGCACCACCAGCAGAGAGGCAATAAAAGACGCATCAGGAGCCACTCGACTCGACAAAGAAGTCCAATAAAAATGATATAGATATAGGGGGATAATATTGCAAAAACAGCAACACAGCAGCACTGCGGCTACGTGATTTTCTATATGTATATATGCCGAAATGCACACAGATTTTGACAATTTAGAAAACACATCTGCTAGGAAATCGAAGGAGGATTCCAACCCTCGAGACCAGACAGACCAAAAAACACTGGCAAACAAAGCACAACAAAAGGGGCAAGTCCTGTGTCTCTCTCTCTCTCTCTATCTCTCTCTCTCTCTCTCTGTTCATTCAACAATGCCCCGTGCCGAGTCCTGGGCCCTAACTCCACCTCATCATCACACTTGAAAGAGTAAATAAAATATAATTCCTCAAGGGTGTTATAAATAAAATTATCTGAATTATGGTTTCTGTTGACTTTCCAACTGAGGCTCTATATAGTGTGAGTGTGTGTGTTATGTAGATATATCTGGCATAGTTTGTTCTGACTCTGCCGGGGGTTTGTCCTCCTAATTTGCCACGAAGATTCCAACTGGAACAGGTCCTTCCCAGCCTGTTTGTTATTGTTGTGAGCGACACTCTGGTCCGGTTTTTGAGTCCTGGGATTACGCCGAAACCGAAGTCGGAGAAGGGGAACTGACTTGCCGGTGTGTAACTTGAAATCGATATGGTTAAGGATATATATAGTCGAGAGGGAGGGGGAGAAGTGGTGACCGAGGGCGTGGCAGTTAATGGCCAAAACATTTGGCTAAAGCATTTAGAGCTTAGAGCCAACACAACGACAACGAATGAGACCCCCAAGGATTCCGATGGCCAAGGGGGACAAGAAACTATATAATATAGACGTTAGAGGTACTTAAAACATTTCAAAATAAAAGGGAAATAAACCCTACATTATAATATTATTATTAATATTATTTAATGATTTAATTTCAAGGAATTTTTATCATGTTTGTACTTTTATTTAGTTTTTAGAACGAATAGAAAAGTTAACTAAAGCAAAAAAGGAAACTAACTTCGGTAAGCCGAAGTTTTTATACCCTCGCAGCTTGCAATTGAGTTATGGAATAAAATTCAAGTTCAGTCATAATAAAGTTTAAAATATTCGCATGTTTTGATTCAATATTTATCAATATTTTTATATGACAATTTTTTGAACAAATCAAAATTTAAAAGTCTCAGAACTCAGCTAAAAATGCATTAAATTTAATTCGAAAAGCTGTTCTATACTAGTTTTTTTAAGGTTAATAAATCTGCATACTCAGTTTAAAATGTGAAAAAATTCAAATTTTTCACAATTTTAATGATGTGACCCCTTTCCTTTTTTTTTGCAAAAATGGGAAATTTTTGAAAAATATTCTTTTCTCCCGGAGATAGTTAGATAGATTCCCCTGTTGATCCTGATCAAGAATATATATGATTTATAGGGTCGGAAATGATTCCTTCACATTCTGACTGCTTCTGATTGAAATTATAATACCATTTTTTGAGTCGATATTTATATATAATTTATGCGAAAATGGTTTGTTTAACTAAGTTTAAAAATTTCATAACTCAGCCAAAAATTCATTAATTTAAATTCGGAAAGCTTACTCAGTTTGAAATGTAAAAAATGTAGAAATTTTATCAAATTTTGGAAATTTCAACGATGTAACCCCTTATAAAAATTTGAAAAAAATTCGAAAAATTTTTTCCCTTGAAAACATATCTAGATCGACTCTGGTGTTGATGCTGATCAAGAATATATATGGTTTATAGGGTCGGAAATGACTCCTTCACCTTCATTACAAGTTTCAAAACCCTGCAAGAGTATACAAAAAAATTCGTTACTTATTTATTTATTATTCTTGTAAATTAATTTCCACTCTCTCTCTTTCACATTATGATTTCCCCGTTTCATCCCTCGTTTCATGTCTGTCGCTGGCTAATTAAAAACATTAACCCAATTTAAATTAGGCCAGCAAATGGCGAATCTGCATCTAAATCAGATGCGTCTCAAAAACATTTGCATATAAACAGTATAAATTGCTGTCCAGTCGGGAAGCCAAAACCCTGAACAGAACCCAAAACCCCGAACCCAAACCCGAACCCAAGCCCAAGGACCAAGGACCAATCTGAGAGACAACCCCAGAGGAGAGAGCAAACATCCTTTGCCCCTTAGTTTTGCCTAATTTCAAAGGTCGTTAAACAAACAAACTCAAGTGGAACAAAATGCAAGGAAGGAGGCCCTCGGGACCCGCTGCCTCTGGCCTGGCGATGATGACGACGACGACGAGGCCAGACGACGTCAGCCCACTTTCCACCTCCCAGAAAAACGACCCACAAAAAATTACCCAAAAAACGCCCGTAAAAATCTATAAAATAAAAAAGAATCACATTGTAAAAAAAGGAACAAAAAAATGTGAGGCCTCATTAGCATTTATAGGCCACACAAATGTCGCTGGCTGGGAACAGGAATCACCATCGAAGGATGTCTGCCTGTTCTGAGGTTCATTAGAAGCTTGTCACATGATTCGATTTACCCAAAAAAAAAACTTACAAAAATATATGTAAACTCTACTAAAAAATGCAGTCAAAAAAATATGGTAAATCGGAAAACATGAGAGAAAAAATCAAGGGAAAACTATTAGGTCTGCTAATTGTGTGACCCTGCAAGAAGTCAACCCCCAGGATCAACGCCTCACAAACAACACACACACAAAAATATATACAAAATAAAAAACAGGATAACGAAAACAAAAAACAAAAAAAAGGTGACTAGAATCAGGCGTAAAGTCAGACACGCGCCCCTGACACGGGGATTTTGTCGGTTGGATTTTCAGTCTCGAAAAAAGTACCCCTTTTCCCTCGTCCTTTTTCCCTGTGCTCCTTTTCAGTGCCTGTCAAAGTCGTTTAGCTGCCACGGCACATTGATGGATTGTCCGAGTTTTCGCCGCTTTCCCGCCTCCCGAGACCCAAAAGTTGCTATCGGGGCACAACTATTTCGCAGAATCGCCGCTCGAGTGTGTTAAATTGTTTGCTTACCGCACTTTAAACTCTGCCACAGAACGTGGGAAGGAAGCTGTGAGAGGGTTTTGTGGAGAGGAAAGGGGAGAAGGAAGGGGAGAAGGAAGGGGAGAAGGAAGGGGAGGAAATGAAAGAAAAGGATTTTCCACCTTACCAGGATATATTTATATATGAAGAAGTTGGGTAGTCTTGTATACTCTTAAAATAATCTGTAATAATATAACTTACAGTTTATTAAAATTAAATATATATATGAACCACATGAATTTCCTAGTGATTTTAGCATATAAAACACATGTTTCACCTATTATTAGATTGCTTTGATCACTTTAAACTCTGCCACAGAACGTGGGAAGGAAGCTGTGAGAGGGTTTTGTGGAGAGGAAAGGGGAGAAGGAAGGGGAGGAAATGAAAGAAAAGGATTTTCCACCTTAACAGGATATATTTATATATGAAGAAGTTGGGTAGTCCTGTATACTCTTAAAATAATCTGTAATAATATAACTTTCAGTTTATTAAAATTGAATATATATGAACTACATGAATTTCCTAGTGATTTCAGCATATGAAATTCACTTAGAATTCTTTTAAATTTAGAAAAATAATATACTGTTCAAATAATATATTCTTGATCAATCT